CAGGCTTCTGTGGCCCAACAGGCCCTGATGTCCTAGGAGCCTGGGCCACATGCCAGCATCAGACACAAGAATGGATGAAGGCAAGAGAGTCACGTCCTATGTCTGGGACATGGAGCACATTTGATCCAAGGTAATCACAGTGCAGCCAGTGGACCTTTGCACAGTCCACTCCATGGTCTTGCTGACAGGACCCTGCCTGTCCTGCGGTCAGAGGTGGTAGACACCCCATGGTGGGCTCCATCCAGCTTGCCACATGTGACAGTTATCGCTTAGTGGAGCTTGAGGTAGCACACGTACATCAGCCTGGCGTGGCAGGACAGGGCATGTGGTTGGGGCTGAACGTGGCACTGACCCCGCGCTGAGCCACTCTGCGTCACTAACCTCTGCGTCCAATAAGCATTTGTGCCAAGCAACTGCAGTGGGGCTAGGCTGTCTCATGGAGGGTTGCAGAGAGGCTGCTTACACCCCATCCAGAGTCACTTGGTCAGCCCCAGAGAATCTGTGGGGCCTTGCGTAGGGGACAGTGCCAGGGACACTCACACAGCAGCAACCCCCTGTCAGCCTGGGGGCACTTCCCGGCCTCAGGCCTGTGCTGGATGCTCATGTGAGGAACTCAAAGGGGCTCATCAAACACCCAGAGAGCAGGTGAGAACAGTGGTGGATGGTGCTGCTCCCCACACTCTCGGGGGTGCTGGGCAGTCTCCCCAAGTCCTCCTGTGATCTTCCTCTAGGGGGTCACCACCAGATGCTTTCCCACCCCACACCTCTGTCTGGGGAGACACTTTGCAGGTGCCCAAATTCAGAGAGCGTCTGCTCGAGCCTCCCCCTAGCTCCTGCTGGCTGGGAACCAAGCAGAAGCGCCCAGGGCTTTGGGCCAGGAGGCTGAGTGACCCCCAAGAGAGTCCAGGAAAGTGAGGGGAGAGGTTGATACAAGGTGCTCTGTCCCTGGGGTGCTGCTCAGAGCAGCAGGAGAGGAGTGTGACTTGAGGATGGGGTGGGACAGAGACTCCCAAGAATGCTCCCAGGATCTATGACAAGGCTTTCCTGGGACAAGTAATTGCTCTAATCCTTTCCTGGGGCCAGAGTGGCCAGCAACATGTATCTTGCATGCAACAGGACCTGAGTTCAAACCCCAGCGACACATGGCCCCCTGAGCACCTCCGGGCTGACCGTGTCCCCAGCACCCCAGGGCCTGGGAAGCCCCACACCAGCTCAGGATCTACCAGCCTTGTTGGCCAAGAATTGCTGGGAGTGCTCCCAGGGCCTCCAAGATCCTATGGAAACCCCCAAGCCCTTTTCTCTTGACTAGAAGCTGCCAACGCTCAGAGGAAATGGCCTTGTGACTTCACCAGTGTGCTGCATCAGTGATGCCTGGCACCTCCTGGCAGCTGCCCCTCCCCCAGGCTCTCCCTGCGCCCCCATGTGCTGGCCCCTCCCCCAGAACACTCACCCCCTTGCCCCCGTGTGCTGGCCCCTCCCCCATATGCTGGCCCCTCGTGGTCCTCGTTCCCCTTCCCCAACCCCTCTGCACATCTCACCATCCTTGCTCTCTCAGGGGGAAGCTGCCCTGCCCTTCCCACCCTCAGGGCCACTTGCCAGGCAGGGTCCCCCCAATCCTTCACCAGTCCCCCAGACCTTACCCCCATAGAAGCTGAGGTCCCTAGTGCCAGGCTAGGACTGGATTCTGCCCGTGTCCAAAGACAGGTGGACCCCTCCTCCCTGGGACACAGGTCTCCTCTCCAGGGAATCTCAGAGAACAGGAACTCCCCAGTTTAGATCACTGGTGTCTCAGCAGCAGACACTCATGAGATTGGGGTGGAGAATGTTTCAGATGGAGGGCACTGTAAGGGACAAGTCCCTGAGCAGAAGCCTAGCTAGGGAGCAGCGCAGCTGAGCGGCCCCTCCCAGTCCCTGCAAGCATTCAGGGTGGTGGGCAGGATGAGGATAAGCCTGGGTGTGGACACGTGTGCCTGGATGGAGGGAACCTGGAGGTGGGAAATGGGGGGCGGTCAAGAGAGAGGTTGTGCTCCCCCACCCCATGCTGGTGACTGGGATACCAGGGCTAGCGGGGTGGAGTGGCTTTCCTGCACACTTGCAGCCCCGCTGGCTCTCTCTTGTGGCTGACCAGTGCCCACATGCCATCTGCTCCTCTCCAAGTCCTTCCAAAACCAGGGGCATATGGTGCAAAGTCAGACCAGGACATGGCTGGCTAGTAAATCATGAATGTGGGCAGAGAAGCGGGGTCTGTGGGACGGGGGTGTCAGAGATGCATCACCTTGGGGAGACACAGATACACCTCTCATAGCATGGCTTTCTTCAGGTGCCCACGACCCCCAAGAGACTCAGGCATGAAGTTTATTTCCCCCCACCCCCTCGTAGCTCAGCCTTAAACTCTCCTGAGCCTTGTTTCATGCTGAGAGCTCCTGGGACAACGAGGAATTTAAAAGTGTCTCTTCTGAAAACCCATGGGGTCAGCTCAGGACCAAGGGCCCAGCTGAGGCCAGGCACAATGACAACCGTCAGGAAAGGGGAGGATAAAGGGGGTTCAATGAGGTTCTGTTCAGTGTGAGCTCGGAGCCTGGCATCCTGATTTCTGATCCCTGCCCCCACTCCCCGCTCCTGTTCCTGCCCTACTGTCTCTCCCAGACTCCCTTGGCCTGCAGCCCAAGAAAGAAACACACACACACAGACACACACATGCACACACATGCGCACACACACGCACACATCCGTGGGCCTCCCTTTAGCACACAGGGTATCAATAAATACTGCACCCAAAATACAAGGGACAATGGCAAGTCCAGGGGTTCAGCAAGCTCCCCCTGGAGACAGGGGTACCCACCCATCCCGCATACCAATTTCTGAATGTGAGCAGAGCTTCCTGCAGGGGAGGTGGGCATGGAACACTACCTTGTGGACATGCGGGAACTCTGGGTAAATTATCTGGATGCGATTGTAACGGCCAAGCCAAAGCACAGGGTGCTGGGGATGGGAGAGATCCGTAACTCACCCATGGACCCCAGCTCTGGCCAGTGTGCAGAACCTGGGGCAACAGGCAGCTCTGCTCTCGAAAGTCAGGATGGTGGAGTGACCCTCTCCCTGTCTGCCTTCAGTGGCCTGCTGGGTGGCCTCCGGGAGCCTTCCCTTTGCGAGGTCTGTCCACTGTGTACTTGGCCTTGCAGCCTCTAGACAGGCCCACACCCCCTCCCCAAGACCCCCTCTCCATGAAAACATGGCAGACTCAATGCCTTTTGTGCAAACCACAGCACCCAAAAGGAGAGAGAGAACAAAAGGGAATGCCCTGACACAGAGGCAGGGTAGGACAGGGGGGATGGGGAGTGGGAGGGATACTGGGATCCGTGGTGGTGGAAAATGGGCACTGGTGGAGGGATGGGTACTTGATCATTGTATAATTGAAACCCAAGCACAAAAATTTGTAAGTCTACAACTGTACCTCATGGTGTCTCACTAGTAAAAATTAAAAAATAAAATAAGAAAGAAAGAAACGAAAACCTGGCAGGATCCCCAGTACCATCCCTGCAGATCTACGCAGCCCCATGCTCTGCCTGGCCCCATCAGCCCGACTCCACTCTTACTGGGCTCAAGTTCACCTGGCGGGGTCTAGCAAGTGAGATGTGAGCGTAACTGAGCCCTGGAAGGAGGGCCCAGAGCCCCCAGCTCCCTCAGGGCAGTGGCTGGGTTTGGGGCCTGTACAGGGTGAGGAGGGGGAGTGCTGCAGCAGGGTGTCCTCTGAGGTGCCAGGAACAGCAGGCCTGGGCACGAGGGGAGTCGGCGGGGGAGGAGGATGGAAGGCCCACTGCGAGGGGACTGTAAACCATTCTTGGCAGAGCTCAGAGACTCCCAGGGAGCAAATAGATTTGATTGTATCGAACATAACAATTGATTTTTTTTCCTAAATAAACATGCAGAAGGAAATGGTCCCAGCATCTGTTTCTGAGGAGAATCAATTGACCCCAAATTGGAAGAAAATCTAGAAACACAAATAAGCCTAAGAGGAAGTGGTGGGGCTGTGCGGGTGCGGGTGGGATAGCCAGGTTCCCTTCCCACTGGGTGCCCCCTGGGGGTGCCTCGCTGTGCCGAGCCTTGGAGGCTCTGCTCTACTTCCCTTCAGAGAGGCCTCGGGGACACAGCACGGTCAAGGGGGCCTTCCTGGGGTTACACACCCAGGCAGCGGCAGGCAGGGTACCTCAAAGCCAGCGCTCTGCACCCTGCTTTAGACACTACCTGGAGTGGAGAGACAAAGGCCCAGCCTGGACAGTGAACTTCTGCCGCAGGCTGGCCTCGGTCGGCTCTGCTCGGTATGAGCTCTAAACACTTCAGCCCCAAACCCCAGGATTCAGCAAAGCCACGGCTGGAAAGCACCCCCATCCTGCAGGGACGTGGGGAAATGGAGCTGGAGGAGGAAAGGGGCCTCAGTTTACTGGGTGATCCCATGCGGGTCTGGGCCAGGCCACCTGCCGGGTGCTGGGAGGCCACTCTGGGACACCAGAGCAGGCCAGGCCATGCATGTGGCTTTTCAGTCCCTAAACGGCTGCTTTCTTTTCTTGTGTACATATGTTTGTTTTGAAGTAATCCAGCCCTGGGAGTGTACCTAATTAACTTACACAAGGCTTATTAGTCCTGTTAACTAAAACTCCCTCATCTGTGAGCCCAAGTATTCCAAAGCTGCGTTTGGGGAAGGATTAAAGCAAAGAGCAGCTCTCACGAGGAGACTTGGGGCCGCTTTTCCTAAAGCCGCTGCCGGGCTCGGCCCTGAGAGTTCCCCATTCCCCCTGGCAGAGCCTTCCCCACTCACCTCCAACCCTGGCACATGGTCTGGGCTCTCTGACTACTCTGAGGTGGACATGTGGACAGATGGACACGCAGGTCTCACCGGCGGCCATGCCACCAAGCACTGCTCCATGTGGATGCAAGGGGGCTGCAGGGCATGTTCTCACAAGAGCCAGGGTGAGTCTGTGTAACCTCGTGTTCTCTTGCAGGTGACCCATGCTCCGTGGCTGACTATGCCCGCCTGAAGAATGCCCTTCTGGTGCTCCAGGCCCGCCTGCAACCCCTGGGGGGTGGGGGCCATGGGCAGGAGCCTGCCTCGAAGAAACGCCTGCTGGTGGAAGCGCTGTTCCAGCAGCTGGACACCGATGGTGATGGCCACCTGGGCGGTTCAGAGCTAGCCCAGGTAGGAAGAAGACGACAGCCTCCCCACCCCTACTCCCACCACCCCGTGAAAGTGGGATGGGATGGGTTCCCACTTCCAGGATGAGTATCAGTAAGGAGGGAGGCATTTGTAACAGGTGCCCACGGGGGAGGCGTCTCCCACAGTGGGGCTGGAGAGCATGGGGTCAAGCCTCTGAGGCCACGTGATGAGCCAAGCCATGCCGGGTCTCCTTCCCACTGCCACTTCCAGCCTCTGCTCACAGACAAGCACACTCACTCTCCACTGGCTGGTAGACTCCTTGGGGCTATCTCTGATGCCATGACTCAGGGCTCCACCTTTTCCTCCCTGAGCCCCTTCCTTGTCTCTGCAGGAAGGTTAAAATGTTCAAGATGTTAAAATGTTCAAATGTTTGAGAGACCGGAGAGATTGTAAGACAGTGGGTAAGGTTCTTGCTTGGCCAGAGCCAACTCCAATTTGATTTCTGGCACCCTGTGTGGTCCCCTGGACCCTGCCAGGAGTCATTCCTGAGCACAGAGCCAGGGATAAGCCCTGAGCACCATCAGGAACACCCACTAGCAGGAACAGCCCCCAAAAGAAGATTTGGTTTTGTCCACATACCTTTGGAGCTATAATGTGAGTGTCCCCAGTATACCCATCCATGCCCTCCCCAATGATGCCCCGTTCTTTGGTTTCCAGGGATCAAGGTCCCAAATCCCAGCCTGCTTGCTTCCAGGAAGCCCCACATGCACCCCCAAGCATTGCTCTTTCACTTGGAAAGACAGTTCCAGTGGGTCCTGGGGTCCACCCCACCCACAAATGCAGAAGACATGGCCTTTTATGTAGCCATAAAACCAAATGAGGACAGTGTCATGCAGTCGGTGGGCCCATGGGTTCCCGTGGGGTGACAGGTGGGGACCCCAGAACCTTTGCCCTCTGCCCTGCTCTGGGGGTTATGCCTGTGAGTGCAGAGAATTACAAGTAGAGAGGCCGGCCTCCCCAGGCGGGGTGTCAGGAACGGGCAACTGTCCTCCAGAGACCCCAGAGCATCCATTAGCGCAAAGGTTACAGGAACAGGGTAGCCTGAAAGAAATTTTTGATGTGGCACAGTGGCCTTCCAAATGCCACAGAACACAACAGGGCACGAGGCATGGTGAGAAGCACCCCAGAATTTCCTGGATTCTCAGGGTATGCATGACAGTGTAACATCAGAAACCCCCAAGAGAGACTGTGCAGCATTTAGGGTGCATGCACCCAACCCAGGTTTGGTTCCCAGCACTAGACGGTCCCCTACACACACCAGCACTGCCAGGTGTAGCCCTGAAGACCCCTAGGCACTGCCAGGTGTGGCCCTTCAGACCCCTAGGCACTGCCAGGTGTGGTCCTGGAAGCCCCAGTACCACAGGGAGAACCTGGGTATCTATGGCACTTGCAGGTCCGGATCACTATCAGGGCCTCAAACCCTTGTGCTCAAGCAATGGCCAAGGTGGGTGATAATTGCCAGTGGGTCCCCCATATCTCCTGATCATCTCCTGAGTGGATTCCTGCTTCCCAAAAAGAAAGAGATGCCCTAGAGCGCCCCGATGATGGAATACAGGCCCTAAGAATGTGGACTTCCAACCCACCCACCTGCGTCTAAGCTAGGGCATCTTAGTGGCCCAGCTCATCTCTGGGTCTTTGCTCTTGGTGGCCTCAGTTCTGTCTGTAGACCTTAGGGTCAAACAGGGAAGGAGATTCAACCAGCTGAGACATGGGTGTGCCGCCTGGCACCCCACATTCTCAAGAGATCAGAGTGATCATGGTCGTTATCTCCTCCATTTTTAATGTCTGGATTAGTGTTTCTTCTCTTATCCTCTGGGCCACCCTCTGCTATACAGTAGGGCCTGATGTTACCCCACTTCACAAGCAAGGAAGTGGAGTTTCTTGTGTGCCTGTAAAGGGGGGGGGCAGGGAGAGGGTGTCTACAGCGGGGCTCACTGACCCGGGTGGGCTGGTGGCCAGGCACATCAGCTCCCCCAACAGATTCCTGCCATCAGGAGGAGGTGACACCAGGTCTGCAGCAACACTCAACTCCCCTAAAACCAGAATCTGGAGCCATCACTAGAGGTTTTTTCAGTGCAGAGTCCCCTCCCACAGCCCCCACTGCAGACCCTCCCTGAGAGTCAGCTCTGGACACAGGCTAGAAACCCCCGACTAAAAGCCTTGGCCGCCCCAGCTCAGCTCATCTATACCCAAGCCATCTCTGCCGAGCCAGCCAAGCCAGCTCACTTGTCCTTCGATACTCAGCCCAGTTTTGGCTAAGACCCACAGAGCAAGTGGGGCCAGGACCGCACAGCTAGCCCAGAGCAGCCTGAGTTTCCATGCAGGAGAGCAGACTGGCCTTCCCCAACTCCAGGACTGGGCATGCAGAACAGCATCTCAGTTCCCCAGGATCCTGCCATGTAAACAGAGCCATCCCAGGGCATATTGCTCAAACCTGGCAGAAATGTGCCCCCGGGCAGCCGAGACCATTAACCAGTGTGGTAATTGGATGATGATTTCCTCTTTAAAATTTAACATCTTTAAAATCCATTTCATAAATCTGCCAAGCAGAGCCCAGCTCAAGTGGACCTTTCCTTGACACTGAATCACAGGCGTCGAGGAGAAACTTGTTGGACCCATGAAAAGTTAATCAATTTCCAATGTAGAAATAGACAAAGGAAAATTTCCGTCTCTGGAAGATTGATTTCAGGCGTTACGGTTGATCTCCCTTTTATTGAATGCTCATACTCACTGGGTGAAGGGCCAGGATTTTTTTGTTGTTGTTAGTTTTTCTTAAAAAAAAAAAAACCACATTATCACATTAAATTGCCTTTAACATAGCAGGCCAAGTTGAGACAGATAAAAGAAAATAAATGCCTCTCTCCCCCAGCCTCCTCCGAACCAACCCACCCCCCAAAATAAAGTCAAGCATGTCTTTCTGAGCATTTTTCCTGCAAATCTTAGGCCTCCCTCCAGCTCCAGTTAGGCAAGAGCTCCCAGGATGTTTGTCTTCAGCCTCCTTCCAGTTACTTAGGCTGGAAGGCATTAGTGTCCTGTGACCCCGGCCATACTCGAGAAGTGACCCCAAGAACCAACCAATGGACCCCAGGGCAGACATCAGTGCCTTGTGTAGGACATAGGTTGGGACAATGGGGTTGCTGTGTAAGAGGTGTTGCCCCTCGACTGATAAGACTCATGAGGGCGGGAGGGCATGGATCTGTGACCTTCCTACCACCAGAGCTCATTTGTGACATTTTCAGTGGGTATATTTGCTCAGACCCTTCTTTTCTGGTTCCTCCATCCCCACATGAAGAGGTTGACCAGTTGGCCCCCGGTGAATGTGCCCATCATGGATGCTCTGGGGAGTTCTCTTTGCTCTTCTAGAGTCAATGAAATGGAACTCTCATCCCAGCTCTGGCCCCACTACTGTGTAACCACCCGGACATCCTCTGGGCCTCAGTTTTGTTTTCTATGGAGTGAGAGTTAGAGAGGAGGAAACCAAAGGACTGTGGGTGCTGCCATTGTTGGCTCAGCTGTTGCTAAAGTCCTCAGCACACACACACACACACACACACACACACACGCATGCGCACACACACGCAGCTACACACACACACTCACACACACATACATGCACGCACACTCACGCACACATGCCTGAGTCACTCCCAGCTGTGCCCCCAGTTCCTGTCTCACCCAACACCCTGTTTCCTTCCTCCCTGCAGCACGAACTGAAGGAGCAGGACCAGGAGGGAGACTTCCTGGGGTGCTCACCAGGCGATCTCCTCCGCTTCGATGACTACAACAGCGACGGGTCCCTGACGCTGCAGGAGCTCTACACGGCCTTCCGTGAGTCCACACTGCGCCACACGGCTCCCACCCACTGGGGCTCGGCACTCTGCCCTAGGCCCTCCAGGGCTTGTCGGGGCAAAAGCAGCTGACTTTGTTTTGCAACAAGCCTGGGGTGTCAAGAGAAGGGCTAAGTGGGGCCAGAGATTGTATAGCAATCTATACAAAGGCAAGGCCCTTACCTTGCAGGCAGCCAACCTGGGTTTGATCCTCATGTGATTCCCTGATCCCTGAGTAAGCCCAAACCACCTCTCCTAAAGATAGGGGTAAAGTGATTAAGTGTGGCATGTGGCGGGAATGGGGAGTCTCACTGCTCCTTTCTGATAAAGGTCCTCATTGTGGTTGGGGGGAGCCCAGAACTGCAGTTTAGGTAAGTCTGGGAAGGCACACCGAGGTTGACGGGACAAGATGACCACATGTGATGGCAGAGGTTTTAGAGGTGACCTGACCCCACTTGGAGGAGAGTTCCAGAGGCCTGACCAGAGGAGAGGGAGCACTTACCCCTCAAGAATGGGGTCCCACATTGAAGAAAGGTGGGGTTCTCTAGAGAAGAGAAAGTGGGTGCTCTGTCTGAGTGGACCCCCGGGGTCCCAGGTATAGGCCATGAGTGGACGGCCTGACCTAAGACCCTCCTTGATGTCCCCCAAACCATCACCACCTGCTGAGCACCAGGGTGGGAGGAACACCAGGAAGGGTCCTTGGGAGTTGAACTCATGGGAAGGGCATGTGCTTACATGGCTGAAGGTGGGCCACCCGGGAAGACACCCTGAGCTCACCAGAGAGGTGGGCAGCCCAGGCCCCGCCCCACTGGCAGCTGTGGTATGGGGCCCCCCAGTCTCCTCTGCCAAGAGTGCTTGTCCGCACCATCTGGCAGGGCCTTGCGCCTTAGGCCCTGCGCTTCCCCTGAGCTCAGTTTCTCTACTACAGAGTAAACGCATGCGTGCCTGTGTGCATGTGTGCATGCAGATGCAATCATGGTTCCATTGAACTTCTGACAACCGGTGGGGGGGTCGTGGCTTCTCATCTGACAGAGCCCACTGTTACATGCTAACCCGAAACAGCATAAGCAAGCCCTCTGGCCCTTGTCCTCAGCATCTACCTATTCCCACCACACCCTGGGCCCCTGAATGATGCTCATCCCCTAGAACATGGCCAAGAAGTGAGCTGTGGGGTCGGGCCCTGCGGGATTTGCTTGCCCCCGCCTCCACCCTCAGGTCAGGAAAGCAGCCAGTTGTGTTCTGGAGAGGGTTCTGGAACCTGCTGCAGAGGGTGCTGTGAAGGACACGGAGCCAGGGGCCAGGGCTGAGCATCTGGGACTTGGTGCCCATGAGATAGCACTTGTATCCTCTGTGGCATCTCTCAGCAGGGACTGACACTGGGCAGTATCTTGTGTCGCTGGCCCCATGGAGCATCTGCTCAGGAGCCCCTCTCTGGGTGCTGGAGCAGAGCAGGAAGCTCCTGGCCATCTCTTCAACCCAGGCTGAGGACATGGGGCTGGACGTGAGGAAAAGCAGCCCCCCTGATAGAGTCTTTGTGAGTCTGCACTGCCCAGGGAGGGGCCAGAGGTGGCCTCAGCATCACTGGTCATGTGTCCTGTGCAGAGCAATGCCAAATCCCTCCCCTTCACTCCGGGCTTCTTTGCAGAGCTTTGTGATCATCTTTAAAGCAAATTAGATGCTGCCGTCGTTGCCTTGGCCTGGTTCTGAACCAGGCTGCCAAACTATTCGTCACAGCCCAGCCCGAGGAACAGACATGCAATAAAAAGGAAGCTCACAGCCATTAGGGACACTGCAGAATGAGCTCACAGTCCCTCCGATTACCTGGCGCAGTGGCTTTTCATAGTCACGGCCACTCCAAACCACATTCCCATCACTCTGGGCATGAACTTATGGTTCTATGAGTGTTAGCGAGGCCATTGAAATGAGACAGATTACCCCTAAACCAACGGACCTTAGAGAAGTCTCACCAAAACCCCTGAATGCCGAATACCAGCCATAGCATTTGAGTTCAGGTGTAAAAACTAGAGCTGAGAGTGTGGGTAGAGGTCATGCCTGAAATAGCCATCTCTGTTCTTGTTTCTGTAGCCAGGGGCTGGGGCGAGGCAGGGCAGGTCTGTGGCTGAGTCATTTCAGTAAAGGTGGGGCTCAGAGTCACTTTCTTTGGAGCAATGTGTGGCATGTACAAGTTTGGGGGCTGGCAAGTCTCATAAATCGCATTTTCTATCACGGGTGAGGCTGATGGGTGTCTGCAGCTGGTCGAGGGTGACCATGGGCTGGTGGCCAGAGGCTGCCATGTCCAGCTGAGCAGGATAGCTGCACCCTCCCCCTCCTGACTCCCTGGAAAGGCAGTCATGGCATCTTCTCTTTCTGCACGTATCACTTCAAGATTCTCGGAGCCACAGGCACATGTCTCCCCCTTCCTGGCATCTCTGCGCCCCCACCCCGGCCCCCTCAGTTCCCTGCAGTGGCAACTGAGACGCTGGAGCACTCACGCGCAGGTCTGGCCTGATCGCCGCTGGCGTTAAGGGGAAGGCTGTCCCTTTAAGAAGCCTTTCAATAATGTATGTTTTCACACTTTCCTGCTTGCTTGGACTGGGGTCATGGGGGAAACATGTTGCTGAAGTGAGGCTATTTCTCTGACTTTAAATTCATTCCAGGTTTCTTCCGGCTTTTTTGTAAGACAGATTCTTGTCCTTTTAATTAACCCTCCGAGAGCAGCCCCAGCAAATGGGTGGGAGGCAAAGCCTGGGTTAGTGCAGCAGCTCCAGGCGCGGGATAAAGGGTAGTGCGGAGTGGGCTCAGGGACCCCCGTGTGGAAGATGCAGACTGCGCAGAGGGTGCTGCCCCATGAACCCCTCCCTCACTGGGCTTGTGTGTAGGCCCCCACTGTACCCCAGACACCACTGCGGAAGATGGTGGGGGGCTCCCAGGTTGGTTCTGCCTGGTAGATGTGCTACATTGTTGCCACTACTTGCATCAACATCTGTGTGGGGCACCCCCCCCCACACACACACACACATCCTGCCCCATGACTTTGGCTAACACCTGTTGCCTGCACAGCCAGAGAGTCACACCAGCAGGGACAGAAGCACAGTGACACAGCACAGACATTCTTCACCCTGACCCCCCGATGCCTGTCCTCTCCAGGGGAGCCCAGACAGGACTCAGGCACCGGCTGCTTTATCCCACTCTGTCTACTGCCTGAGTTGTGAGTAGCCAGCCTGCAGGTGGCAGGGGACTGTCAGCATTTCCTAGGACTCTGCTCTTGGGTTTGGAGAGGAGCAAAAGGGTCCCTGTAAGCCTCCCCCCGAGAGTGTCCCTCTGGAAGGACTTGGGCACTGGTACAGCCACTGACGTGGTGGAGTCCGAAGGCCAAGGGGGTCCTGGCTGCTCCAGCCCCTAGATGCGGAAGGCACAGAGGGATCTTGGAAATGGCCATAGGAGGAAAAGGTGCCATGAGTCTCCCTTCCTCAGGCAGAGGGGGGTGCTTCCAGGAGGAGGTGTGGCACCACTGCCCATACCCGGAAGCCACTCAGTATGCGCTGAGTCCTTGTCAGTATGGTTCTAGTTTGTCCACATTGGAGCCCCGGGTGTCCCTGTGTTCTGTCTGATTCTCCCAATGAAGACACTGAGACTGTGGCTACTTCAGAGCCTACAGCCAGCAGGGGGACTTAGCAGAGGTGGAGCTGAACCCAGTGTCTGGTTCGAGAAGCCTCTCCATCATTGAAACACGATTGGTGTGATTCATCAGCATTAATTCTCCAAGGCAGAGAACTCCCCCATGCCCCCACAACCCTGTTGTCCTTGGTTGCAGGTCCCAGCTCAGTGGCTGCCAGATGTGCTCACTGGGTTCTCCCCCTGCTGGGGTCTGACCCAGAGTCCCTCAGTGAAGGAGCTGAAATCAACAGAGATGTGCTTGGGCCAGCCCAGGGGGCCACACACATTAGGGTCACTGGGGCACCAGGGGGCCTCTGCGTGTCTCCAGAGGCTTAATAGAGGTTCCACGGTGGGACAGGCACAGTGAGGCCAGAAGGGGCACGCCAATCCCTGGAGATGAGATACCAGAAGTGAACACAGGGCCTCTTGTGCCCGGGGCCACCAACCTCCATCAGTGTCTTCCTGTCCTCCTCCACCTCTGCCCTGTGGGTGCAGAGAGGCCCAGCCTGCTCCCTGTAGCCATGCCCGACTAGGAGGGAATATTCTTCAGCATACATGTGAGTTTGTTTCTCTTAGAGGAACCCCAGGCCCTGTCACAGCAGAGCCCATCCCATCCCCTACTGAAAGCGAGAGCCCCGTGGTAGCTGGAGCCCCCTGTAGTAGCTAGAGCCCCCCATAGTAGCCAGGGGCCCCCATACTGGTTGTAGCATGCTTCAGGATGGATGGGGGCATGTTCTTTGAACAAAGGCACAGCACAGAGACCTGAGCCCCCTCGGGATCAGAAATTGTAAAGGAAATAGCAGTGCGGTGCCTGCCCCCAATGCCAGGCTGGGCCAGGCTCTGGAAGGGGCAAGATCCTCCATGGGACCTGCCCCCTCGTCTCTGCAGGCACCCCTGGAGCATGCTGTCCACTTACAGGAAGACTGACCAGCCATGGCACAAGGAGAAGTGAAAAGGTCCAGAAACAGGGCAGGCAGCTCAGGGGTCACACTGGCTCAGAGGTGGGCCCCCTGAGCCCATGCTGTTCCTGGCACAGGGCCTGGGGCCTCCGGGGAGGTAGCAGGAAATAGGAAAGCAGCCAGAGCTGGAGCCGGGACAGAGAATGACCAAGTATGTGGGGGACAGGAGGGGACCTCAGAGACACTAGAGTCCAGGCCTAGGAACGGCGTGAGGAGGGGTGAGGAGAAGGCTGGTGTGAGAGGCAGGGCCATCAGGGGGCACCAAGGGCAGAACCAGACCCAGAAGAAGGCAGACCACCCCCACTTGGACCTTGCTGAGTTTCTGGACTGCGCTGGCCAGGGAGGAGACAGTGAGTCTCAGCTGGGGAGTGAACGTGGCCTTGAA